GCTGTTGCCTAAGCTTAATGGCACATTCAGGTACATTTGAATACAAAGTTACAGGAACCAATGGGTGATACAGGCATCTTACCGTGATTAGAGAGAGGTGAACTTATTTCTTTCCAAAACCATTTTCCTGCTATTACAAGCAATTCCTATAGCAAAAGTAATTGAAAGACATAGAAAAAAGATTATCTGTTTTTTCAGGCTGTGTACTTCAGGCATATGTATTTTCCAAGTTAAACCCCAACCCTACAGAGATCCTGGCAGGCAGACTTATATTTTGCACAGATTCTTTTCCTTCACTATCAGTTTTCCCTTGTTGTTTCTGAATTTCTCAACAACAGAAAAAAGCCACATTTAAAATAGCAAAGAGGTGATTGCAGAGGTGGAGTGTACCATCCAAGACTACTTTAAACTTCGTTGCCTGTGCCTCCCAAAGTATGGCCCACAGTTATGGCGACCCTGCTGTAGACCCTAAAGCTCAACATGGCCACACCTGTAGCATGGCATCACAACAATGAACATTGCTCCCAAGCCACGGCTCCTGTCAGTGACGTTCAGAGAAGATGAAAGGTTAAGGCAGCGCCCTGTTATTAGCGTGTCATGCAGGAAGAGTCTTCCTCTCGCTCCCCGGGTGGCTCGTGTTTACCTTGACACAGCCCCTTGGCCTAGGAGAATGGTGATGCTGCAGCATCCTCTGCACAGCCAGCAAATCACTGCCAACCCCCAGCCCAAGCAGGCACCACGAGACGGGACAGCAGCACCACAGCAGGACGCCATGCTTCGGAGTGGGGAGGGGACCTCCCCCGGCTGCCTCGGCCGCGGGAGAGGGGTCTCGCCGCACTAGCCTTGCCGAGGCCCTTCCCAACTCACCGCAAGGATGGGCTCGGGCTCTCCGCGGCCTCCTCCAGCGGGGCCGGGCTCTGCGTCCTCCTGTCCGGGATGAATGCCGGCAGGCAGGCGGCCAGCCCCCGGCAGCTGAGGGGTGGGAGGGGCAAGGCACCGCGCACAGCCCCAGATCACAACACACGCCCCGGAAATCAGGCCGGGCTCCGACGCGGGTCTGATAGCTGAGGCTGAGGTAAGCGTCTGCCACAGCGCACGCGCGGTCCTGCCAGGCGCGGCCTGCGCGCGCTCGACACGCTGCTTTCCCTGGTCCCCCAGCGCGCGCTGCCGACGTTCTTTCTCCCGCCCGCCGCGACTCAAACCTGTACTGCGAGAAGGGCGCATAGCCCCCAGCCACGAGAAAGCAGGGCGAGAGGTGCCGCGGCCTGCATCACGGTATGGGCTACAGGGGGTTGGGGCAGAAAAACCCTCTCCAGCTACCGTCTCTGCTCTCACGAGCACGTGCACCTGGTACGAGCAGGGCCTCGCCCTGCTGACCTACCTGGCGAGGCTCCACGCCTTGCCTAGAGCAGGGAGTTGGCCAACGAGGATCACCATAGGCGTGCACCCAAAGATTTTTTAAAAAAATGCACTTTGACCACCCCCTGGCCCCCATTAGCCACAGCGCTGGACATAACCCTCTCCAGGCAAGATGGGCACATGACCAAAAGTAAAAAGTGTTATGTGACCTCTCCCCAACCCAAGGACTTTTCCCACCATTCTCCTACCAATAGGAATTAGTTTGGCCCGCACCAACCCCCCCTCTCCATGCAAACTATCCTGCAATTGAATTAATACAATGTGTGTGATATTAATGCAGAGGTGGGAGGGAGGACAAAAGTAAAAAGTGTTATGTGACCTCTCCCCAAAGGAGTTTTCCCACCATCCTCTTACCAAATGGGATTAGTTTGGCACTCCCCAGCTCCCCCCATGAGGGTGTGTGATATTAATGCAGAGGTGGGAGGGAGGAAGGGGAAGTGTTCCCTCTAAGAGTTTCCTCCCATGAGCAGAATGCATTTTGTGTTGTGCACCAGTACCGAATTCATGTGGCTTGTTTGGATGTGCCATTGTGGCACCCAAGTTATTAATAAATATCTACCTTTCCCCTCTTCTCCATGTCTTGACTTCCACTTTGTGCCGCCAAACAGCTGAGCTGGCACAACGTGGTGGCCATTTTTATTCTAATGAAGTGGGGGATGTTTAAATCCCCGCTTCATTGACTATGTCGGTATGTCTAATTTACATGCCTCTGTCAGCAGAGGCATGTAGTCTAGACATATCTGTAGGTAGAAGAGTGATGTTGGCACTTTTCATCAAATTATTCATGAAAAAAACATTATTTATTCCAACCTCTCTACTACCTGAATGATTCTGGTAGTGACCAAAAGTGGCCAATAGCTGGTACATTTCCCATTCCATGTCCCCGGAAGCATCTGACAAAATGGGCTTTAGCCCACAAAAGTTTATGTCCAAATAAATGTGTTAGGCTATGTCTAGACTACGCGGAAGATTTGAAAGAAGATATGCAAATTCCACTGGAATTTGTGTATCTTCTTCCAATCTTACTTTTGAAAGTAAACCTCGCTTTTTGAGGAAGAGCAGCTTTTTGAAAACGGGGTGGGGGAGAGGTTGCTGAAAAAGTTCCGCTTTCGAAAGTGAGATCGGAA